CTCTTTGGACTCTTAGTTGTATGATTGCGAGGATGAGGCTGGCTTTCGTCAAAGTCAAGTTTCCAGATACATCATTATTCTTTGCATAATGCCTATGAATGTGTGCGTGTTTTTGTACTAATTTGAATTTTGACAGTTAAAATATTGTTAACTATTTAATTATGGTACTAGGTACATTGCACCTAGTACCTAACCACCAAAATAACGAACTTTTGCAGATAACCAGTAAATATTACAAGTCTTTTGTACACAAAATATTGGGCTTTTTTTTAATTAAAGATTTGCTCAGGAATTTTTTTCTTTCGGATTGTTTACTATCCAACATGCGAAGTAATTTTGATTTTAAGATTAAAAATACTTTTCTTCATCTGTAAAATTTTATTTGTGTAATCTCTATAACTTTCTAAATAACTATCAAACATTTTTTTAGAAAAACTTTATATTTTATCTGTTAGTTTCTCCAAGAGACATTGAATATAACCAAAGACAGTTAAAGAAAACCCATATACAGCAAATTATGGATGACAATGTATGGTATCAATAGTTTGGAGATAACAACAAGTTTTGTATATATATAAAAATTAGATTTATTTTCACCAAAAGAAATATTGAAAATGCAATATATGATGTAAAGACCTAATTCATTTTTTTTGATTTACTGTACCTTTTCCATAATGTTATTCATATACTTATATTAATATAGGTGAGTTAAAAAGGACTCATAAACCCCATAAATAAGTATTATTCATATACTTATAATAATTTAGGTGAGTTAAAAAGGACTCAAAAACTCCATAAATAAGTATTATTCATATACTTATAATAATTTAGGTGAGTTAAAAAGGACTCATAAACCCCATAAATAAGTATTATTCATATACTTATAATAATTTTGGTGAGTTAAAAAGGACTCAAAAACTCCATAAATAAGTATTATTCATATACTTATATTAATTTAGGTGAACTAAAAAGGGCTCATAAACCCCATAAATAAACAAAATATTGAAATATGGAATGTTTCATTGTCAGTAACTAATCATATGGCACATGTAAAGGTTTCTGAGAATATGCCTCTATTTATTATCCATGAATATTTTTAGAGACAGTTGAACTTGTGCCTATTTATTATCCAGTTGAACTTGTGCCTATTTATTATCCAGTTGAACTTGTACCTATTTATTATCCAGTTGAACTTGTACCTATTTATTATCCATGAATATTTTTAGAGACAGTTGAACTTGTGCCTATTTATTATCCAGTTGAACTTGTGCCTATTTATTATCCAGTTGAACTTGTACCTATTTATTATCCAGTTGAACTTGTACCTATTTATTATCCATGAATATTTTTAGAGACAGTTGAACTTGTGCCTATTTATTATCCAGTTGAACTTGTGCCTATTTATTATCCAGTTGAACTTGTACCTATTTATTATCCAGCTGAACTTGTACCTATTTATTATCCAGTTGAGACAATTGAACTTGTACCTATTTATTATCCAGTTGAACTTGTACCTATTTATTATCCAGTTGAACTTGTACCTATTTATTATCCAGTTGAACTTGTACCTATTTATTATCCAGTTGAACTTGTACCTATTTATTATCCAGTTGAGGCAGTTGAACTTGTACCTATTTATTATCCAGTTGAGACAATTGAACTTGTACCTATTTATTATCCAGTTGAGAGAGTTGAATTTGTGCCTATTTATTATCCAGTTGAACTTGTACCTATTTATTATCCAGTTGAATTTGTACCATTTAATAACTGGATACAGGAAATTCATATATTAATCCATGATGAATATTTCATGTTTTCATACTAATTAAAACTTATTGCTTTGAATATCTGACTAAGATATTAAGGAAATGTATTGTTTATCAAGCAACATACAAGCTACAAAGGAGAGGGAAGAATAAGGTCTGAAGATAAAGATGAGCATGTATAGCTTCACAGAATTCAATTAATAGTTTTGATATTATTTTGAAACAGTGGGCTTTCAGTCCGTGTTATGGTCTTTAGTTGGAGATATTAACTGTTATGGAGATTGTGTAGTACTAGTGTGGTTGAGTATGGACAATGTGTTAGTGTTTGTCATTGTGTATAAATCCAAGGACCACACCAGTATAAAAATAATGTGAGAACTTTTAGGGAAAATTTTATTTAGTAGCAGTTTTTATTTAACGTAATAAGCAACATTATGTAAGAACAAAATGAAATACTTGAAACTTGTGTGGTATAATATTGTAATGTAATATCACTCTAATGATGAACGTGTTTGCGTGCAGTAACATTCGTGTCTGTGCCAGTTACCATAACCATTACAAGTAAGATTATAAATTATGATGGTATAGGATTATACGGTAACTATAAACATTGTAGACGTTTCATCAGCAGGTAAAAAAGTGTCCTGTATATGTAATGAGAATGTATACCTATTATTTGTAAGTCTAATCCAATAATCTTGTGAATTTATAAAAGTTACATTAACATGAAAATATTTTCAGTAACATAATTGATCGATAAGGATGTACACAGTCACGTTAATTCAAAGGTTTCGATACTTTTGATGTGGATGAACTTCATATGCACAGTTTCAAAATACAAAGGAAATAATATAATGTAATCTGGATCACTCATGCGTGCAGCGATTTTTTTGATTTTGGAAATATAAGTTTACTGCAGCACATGATTAATAACAGAAAGTTTTGTGCATGCACACACACATCGCAAAGTATTGCTTTGATAAATATTTGGCAAATGAGAAATGTACTTGTTAAAGATTATTCTGTTTTACAGCAGTGAACACGATCCTTCCATGTACTAAAAGTGGACATATAATAATCACAAATGTTAAAATCTGTGACGTTGTTTATGTTGTAGTAATATTTTTATGATTTCAATTTAAACTAAAACGTAATCGGTGTGTCTATCATAAACAAACGGATAACCTGCCTTCGTTATGAGTGTTTTGATTGAATATCAATAATTTGAAAACAGCATGACTGATCGTATTGAAACTTTGCAAGATGACATTTAAAAAAAACTGTAACTCTTAACATACAGCTTATCTTGTCTTTATTAAATGATATGTAATTAATGTTTTTCAGTTTTATATATTATTATAATAGTTAAATGATTATTTACAAGCATAGATCAAATGGTCAGTGAATAACATATTTTGGTCAGGGAGAGGCCTAGCAATTTCATAGACACACATACACACAGATTTTTGTACGTCAATTTGTATAAGTATGTATTTTAAGGAATTGTTATCAGCTTCCGGCATTTTGTATTGTTTTCAGTTAAGCAAGACATATCTAATAAAATGCTAAAAAAGAAACAAACCCAAATTAGAGATACCTTTGTTCATATTTATTTTTTAAGAAATGCATTTAATTATCTATTTTAGATGATCACAAAACCCAGAAATTCCAAAGATGTCCATGAGTTTTCAATGTCCCAAGATGATTTTGAGAAAAAAGAGCAGAGTAAAGCATCAGTGTACAGTGGTCTGATTTTGAGTAGAAGGGTATGTTTTCTTTTGAATTAGTTACTATAGTTATTAGTAACTATAAAGTTGTGATTTTTTAATTGCTAATAGCTAGTATTTATCATCATTTTATATTTAACTGGTCAAATATAGTGTTGTAATATTTTATCTGAAAGCATTATTGTTTTTGTGAAATTGTAAAACAGAGTAAAATATATCAATTTGTTTTCAATGAAAAGTGCTTCACTTGAAATTTATGTATACAGAAAATTTCAAAGCATTTAGGAAAGCATCAGGCTTCAAAGTCACACCATAAGTTAATCAGTATAAATGTTCAAAACAAGCCACATTTTTTAAAGTTAATCAGTATGAATATTCAACGCAAGCCACATTTTTTTAAGTTAATCAGTATAAATATTCAAAGCCACACTATAAATGAATCAGTTTGAATACCCTCATGTAAAAATTGGAGGCTATGGTTAGAAAAAAGAACCCTCCAAGTATTGTTATGTTAGCTCTGTTAAAACCAAATAATAAACAAGTATTTGAAGTTGCCAAAGGCTCCAATCATGCTTCAAAATATATGGCTGTTTTCATGAGAAAGATGACCACAAACTGAAATCACAGCAATTCTATTTCACCACATAACCGTCAAGTCCCCTGAAACTGGTGTGGAATGCTAATGTCCACTTGGAAGTCATAGACTTAAGTTATTAGAAGGATTATTGTAAAGTTACACATGAGGAAGGGGAAACATCAGTGTGGTAGTTCTCTGAAAAAAGCATGATCTCATGGTAACTCTCATTATATAGTCATTGTTAAGAAATACGAGAAGCAGATATAGAATGATTGATGGGGAAATTACTGTTTTCAGTATAATACCATCAAACAATTATAATTTAAAAAGTATAAATGACCTTCTGTATATGTATCTTAATCATAGAATTTTTGGCCCGGCATGGCCAGGTGGTTAGGGCGGTCGACTCGCAATCTGCGGGTCGAGGGTTTGAATCCCCGTCGCACCAAACATGCTCGCCCTTTCAGGCGTGGGGGCGTTTATAACATGATGGTCAATCCCACTTTTCATTGGTAAAAGAGTAGCCCAAGAGTTGGCGGTGTGTGGTGATGACTAGCTGTTTTCCCTCTAGTCCTACATTGCTAAATTAGGGACAGCTAATGCAGATAGCCCTCGTGTAGCTTTGCGAGAAATAAAAATGCACACCAAAAACCATAGAATTTTTAGTTTAGTATAACATGTAGAAATTTATATTGAGTTTAACACTTGTTGTGATGTTACAAAATGTTCTTAAATGTATTTATTTCACTTTTGTCAAACTTTAAGATTTGTATAAATATTTGAATTATGTACTTTTTTTTTTTAACACAATAGGCTGGTGATGCTAGTCACATTTCTCCTGAAGAAGAATACATACGGAAAGTAATATTGGAAGAAGTGGGAGAGGAGAGTTTTACCTGTGTTGTGATACAAGAGATTGTGCCCGATCATGTCACTTACTTGAAGCAGAACTATGAAAATTTGTGTAGAGAGTTAGCGTAAGTAAATATAGTACATTTCTTGTTTTGGTACTGTGTGTTTACTGCTGTCTGTTAAATAAATGATTTTTCACGTATTATTATAAAATGTGAGATTTATGTGCGGATATAATCTTTTTATAACTTAGATGAAGTGCATATGTACTGAGCACGGATATAATCTTTTTATAACTTAGATGAAGTGCATGTGTACTGAGCACGGATATAATCTCTTTATAACTTAGATGAAGTGCATATGTACTGAGCACGGATATAATCTTTTTATAATTTAGATGAAGTGCATATGTACTGAGCACGAAGATAATCTATTATAACTTAGATGAAGTGCATATGTACTGAGCACGGATATAATCTTTTATATAACTTAGATGAAGTGCATATGTACTGAGCACGGATATAATCTTTTTATAACTTAGATGAAGTGCATATGTACTGAGCACGGATATAATCTTTTTATAACTTAGATGAAGTGCATATGTACTGAGCACGGATATAATCTTTTTATAACTTAGATGAAGTGCACATGTACTGAGCACCCAGGAAATGAGCGAGAACTTTTAGTCTTAATAAATAGTATATTGTTTCTTTTTGCTGACCAAAAAGCAAAATGATAAGGATGCAAAAAAGTTTGACAATTTTTTTTTAGTATTTATGGAGAATTTATGGACATTTGTTTAATATTGTGTTGTTCTTATTATTTAAAATGGGCTGAACATAGCATAATAGTTGACACTGATGGATTGTGAATCTTAGGGTTCATGGTTTACATCCCCTTGCGACAAAAATACTTCACCCTTTGGAACCGTAGATGTGATGAGTGCTGTTGATTAGCGGCCTGCTGTCTAATCTACTAGCTCAAAATTAGGAACAGTTATATACAGATAGCTCTTGTGTAGCATTGCATGAAGTTATAATACAACCAGTTAATGAATCAACTTATTTGAGATACCCATAGCTGTGCTGAAATAGGAAACAATGTAAAAAAAAGTAGTTTAAAATTAGAAAAATTAATTATCTAAAGTTAAACTGTTTTTAAAGATGTATAGTATTAGATATTTAGTTAAATGAAATAACTATCCAGTGGGTGGGGATGTGTGTGTTTTGCAGCCTTCTTGTTCTATAATCTAGTTTTCAGTTAAAAAATATTTGTGCATATTTGCATCCACAAAAGTAAATTGAAATGTCATCTGTTACTCAAATTCTCCAGGCAAGTAGTGTATAATGTTTGTCATTAACTGTATACAACCTACTGACCGTGTCTTTCAAACACGTTAGAAACTAATTTTATTGATTCAGTATTTTATCATTAATTATGTAACACTTGTCCATCTGAAATAATAAGAACTAAACAAATTATAATTTTTGTGCATTTAAAAAAAAACATTTTCTGTTACTAAGACTAATAGTTTGTAAACTGTACACTAGGATAGTATTTTATATAACATTTTATCCATTGTATGTTGGGGCCCGGCATGGCCAGGTGGTTAGGGCGCTCGATTCGCAATCTGTGGGTTGCGGGTTTGAATCTCCCTCACACCAAATATGCTCGCCCTTTCAGCAGTGGGGGCATTATAATGTGAC